AGGCCAGGACAAGCAACAGGGAATGGAGGGTTCATACCTGCATGACGGCCCTGTGCTCATAGGCCGCCACACATGCTCCGGTCTCGAAGTAGGCGCTCTCCGGCAGGCGCATGTGATTCAAGCGCGTGCGGTCGCGAATGAGAGACAGGCGCCTACCCATACACATCAGTTCAGCGGTGGCAAAAGGGCAGAAACATGTCAGCAATAGGACAGAACTTATGGTTTGAGTAAATGTGACGAAGAGCAACGAATCCAATCCCCAAAACACTGACCTGTCCATCTGCTTCACACGCCGCTTCTTCATCTTGCGCACGACAGCCACAATGTGGCTCATGATGCCCAGGTCCGCCTGGTGCATGATGTCAAGCATCACCACGAGGTAGGGATTGCCCTACGCGGTCCCTGGGACATCCCACTTCCAGGACACGCACTGGAAATGGGGATGTGGTGGGAAATGGAGGAGAGATGTACGTGAGAGTGGATAGCTAACCTAAAACACAAGTGGGGTGAGTTCAATGGGGCAGAGCACATCTGGCAATTCATGACGGGGCGGGCGAGAGCATAGACTACTCATGGGCCGGGGAAACAGGTCACTCACCTCAACAGGGTAGGTAGAGTAGGCCTTGCACGGGTCAGCCTGGCTAGTTGTCGTCCCAGCCGCCTTGTTAACCATCCATTGCTGCTGTTCAGGCGTGCGCGGCGTGTTCCGTGCCTTGACAGCACTCAGATGCTCCTCTTGTAGCACGGGGGTGAGGGATGGGATAAAAAAGGTAAGGGTGGTAGCTATGTGGGTTCTATCAGGCGACCCACAAACGAGAATGTATTTGAATGCGTGCAGATGGCATGAGACCTCACCTTTGCAGCATAGCAGATGCTGCACGGCATCCGCGATCCATGCGAGAGTGTGCAAATGATCTTGCCGCTCTCTGGGGTAGTCGCACACCTAGGCTTACAGTAGGGGCCGCACGGTTTGCCAATCACCGAAAGGGTCCCTGAGACGGAACCCTCTGCAAGGAACAGGTAGAGGGGCAACAGGAATTCGGGTTACGGCTTTTAGAGAGGAACGACGAGGGGCAAAGGGCCATGCTACATACAGAGAGGGTTTGCATACTATGCAGGTGGTAAGATGATGTCTTAGCAAGATGCAAACCGAGTACGGACCTGGCGATGCCATCAAGAAGCGGCTGCAGCACGGTGATGACGCAACGCTGGAAGAGCATCACCTTCTCCACGGCAGACATTGCAGACGGGGGGATAGGAAGGAGGGCAAGTAGTGTGTGCCCAGCTTTCCCCCATCGCTTGGCCTGGGAGATGTTGGCCAGCGTCATCATGAGCGGCCACGCCTTCTTCCGGCCGTTAATGCTCATGTGCGTCACATCCGAATATAAGATGATCCCCCCCACAACTTCGGACCAACTGAAGTGTTCCTGCAGTGCACGACAAAGCGGCAACTAACATACGGCTTAGGGCTCAAGATGCTCTTGACAGATCAGTGCAGCGATGGAGGCATGAGGAAGGATTGGTTTTGGGGTGGCAACGTGGTCTTTCCTTACCTGAGCATCATTCCACCACGTTCCTGTTTCAGGCTTGGTATAGCGACGGTTGCCTTCGTCAGGGTCCTCCTCAACACGCGCCTTGAGCTTGAAGTCGGGCGCGTTGTTGGGATGTCCAAACATTTCAGCAAATGTGTGGTGTACGGTGGCGAAGGCAGGCGAGAGGAGAGGCATGGTTAGTGGCGGTGAAGGTGGGTATACGGTTAATACAAGGATAACTACGTACATGCAAACCCTGTGTGCCTCATCATCATTTCATGGCCTTGAATGCAAAGTCGGCTTACCTGGGCTGAGTTCTGAAAGAGCAAGCGCTGTGGTGGATGACCGTCAATCTCGAAGGTCGCCACCAACCATCCGCGATTGAGCCCTGCCAAACGCTCCATCTCGAACCGCTCCGGATCCTTACAGTTCCGGAGCTCCGAGATCACAAGAGGCGCAAGGCCGGGCTCTACGACTAGCTGAAGCAGGCCGTTGATGTCAACCTCGGCCATTCCCATTCCGCCATTCACGCGCCGAACGAAATGCAGCAGCTTCAACGCGAGCGGATTGAGGGGCGTGGCATTGCTCTGTCCGGAGATGATTGTTGGCGGCGCGGCATGACTCCCTTCGGGCCGGCTCTCAGGATGGTCACTCGTGTCAGCCGCAGGAGCTCCTGGTTGTGGTTGATGTTCATCTTCAGGAGGCCCCTCGTTCACGTCGTTGGGAGTTTCGTCAACGTGAGCTTCAGGCACGCGTGGAGGACCGCGCACACTGACGGCGTTGGATGCGTTAGACGCTGTAGGTGAACCGGGAGCGGCTGGAGCGTCCGACAGAATGTCGTGGACGAATAGCAGAGCGTGAAGACCGGCGGTCGGTGCAGATCGCGTCGGCCTTGCCACGGCGGATAGTCCTTGGCAAGGGGTCCACCGTGACTTATGACCGCCATAAACTTGGGCGTTGGGGAACCATCTATTGCAGAACTCGCAGACGACGCCTGGTAAAGAGCCCATGTGTTACGGATCCGTTGTAGAGTCGAGAAATTGCCTATGAAGCTACTAGCCGTGATGAAGCTTGTGAACGCATTAAGTACTCCGTTCAAGAAGCCTGTGACAGCTACACGATGATCGCCAATGCGTGCACTGTGGTGGGCGGCTTGTATCACTGCACGACTGGCACTTGACATTGGCGCTAATGTTTATGACTGGCTAACGATGTCGAGTCGCGTGGTCGTTACCAGGCACGATATAGACCGCCCACCTCACGGGCCGTCTTCCCTACAAGGCGTGTCGCCCCCGTTTAGAGTGACCACGACGTGAGCAGAGGAGAATGCGGAGGATCTTAAGTCTCAAGGTCGTGTGTGTGCGTCGCAAGCACGGTGAGAAGGACGTGCCTATTGAATCAAGAACTTGTCTTTAGGAACCGTGCGTGAGAGTCGAGGGGGATGAGGAAGAGCGGGAAGAGATTCGTTTGGATCTGTGATTGTGTCGCGAATCGATATAGGGGGGAAATCAGAATCACGTAGGTGAGCTCAAGAGGCTTCAAACAAACATGGAAGTGCAAATGTACAATTACAACTTAACAAGACACTCAAGTCATTCATAACTAGTATACATTCATATCCTTAGGACTGATGTTGAACAACCCTTACTTGATAACGATACGGGAAGTACCCAATAACTCCATGCCCTAACGTATGATTGTTGCGTGGAGCGAATACCTATAGCGTGTCTTCTCTCGAGGTGTAGTGTACCTCTACGCACCGTGCTGAATGAATATGCAAGAATGGATGACAATGTCGTACAATAACACAACGGTTTCAATGTCCATGCAATGTTGGATGACAATGCAACACCATACCACAACGGAATCACCATGTCGCGCAACCCGCAGGCCTGAACGCTGCATCGTCGCACAGTCTAACCATGGCTGTCGATAACGCATCTACGCTTGTGCGTTGGGCCTGTGCTTCATACCACTCCTTCTAAGCACCTTGTTTAATGTCTGTGCAAGAATGGATGCCAATGCAACACCATACCACAACGGATTCACCATGTCGCGCAACTCGCAGGCTTGAAAGCTGCATCGTCGCACAGTCTAACCATGGCTGTCGATAACGCATCTACGCTTGTGCGTCGGGCCTGTGCTTCATACCACTCCTTCTAAGCACCTTGTTTAATGTCTGTGCAAGAATGGATGCCAATGCAACACCATACCACAACGGATTCACCATGTCGCGCAACCCGCAGGCCTGAACGCTGCATCGTCGCACAGTCTAACCATGGCTGTCGATAACGCATCTACGCTTGTGCGTTGGGCCTGTGCTTCATACCACTCCTTCTAAGCACCTTGTTTAATGTCTGTGCAAGAATGGATGACAATCCAACACCATACCACAACGGATTCACGTTTGTTACTATTGATAATCGTGTTAGAATGTCGTCCGCTGGCCCTAAACCATTATGGCAAAGCCTAAAAGTGCACAGTACATCTGTCACAAGTAATAATTCTGGACGGTCGTTGTGTGTGTGACGTAAGAATCACCGATTAACTTACCCCAACCCCGTGGTAAACCATCTGCAACTTAGAGTCTGATGAAATGCATTGTTGTATGTTTGAATAAAATTTAGTGATCTATGCGTTGGCAACCGTGATTGGCCGACGCATCTCAAACGATTCCCCCCGCAACACAGTCATCAGCCAAGAGGTACTTCAGCCATTGAGCGGCTGAGATCGAGCGGTAGGTGGGTTTATGCTAGGGTGGCTACACGTACACCATCCAATATAGCCTGATAGGGTTACATTACTCTCTCTAGTCTCGCAACCCACCCCAACCACCCTCGTGTCCCACCCACCTGCTTCCGTCACTCCCTGGACCAACACTTTGACGCTGCTCGTTGCCTTGACACACGCCTCTCCAGATCGGCCTTAGCGCGAAGCATAGTGGCTACTATGACAGATTTAGTTGAAGCGGCGGTTTTCGGAAACACATAACAGTGATAGACTGTCGATAATCCCATCGTGGGATTCAGTTGCAGAACCCTTTCGAAACCGGCTCAACCCTTCCGCGCGATTTGCAACTTTGCTCCTCCTACAATTACCATGACACGTGCAACACGTAACCAAGCAATGGAGGAGGAACAGGCCGGCCGCCGCGCGACAAGGAGGACGTCTAAACAAATCGATAGGGAGTGTGGTGGCGGCGCTAAAAAAACTAATGCGTCCGTCGCTCGTGGCATTGGGCAGAAAAAAGCGGCGGCAAAAAAAGTCGCGCGCGGTCAACAGGAGGCCGGCAAGAAAGCGGAAGACAAGGGGCCTAAACCAACGCCACGCAAGCGTGTTTCTATAGTGAACAAAGATGCGGATGTTGCCTCTGCTGGAACCGAGCCCGGTCCGAGTAAAGACGGCACCACTGGCGGCAACGAAGATCCGGGGCGAGGGAGCGCGAGTCTTGCATTCCCGTCGGTGGAGATGGAGGGATCGGCGACGGAGGGAAATCACGGAGGCGATCCCCGCGCCGAGCATGCCGCAACCAAGGAGTCCGAGGCGGCGGCAACGCAACACCATCTGACGCTGCTCCAGCCGACCGTGGTCGAAGTTTCTGCAGCCGTGCTGGATAAGGACAAGGTGGGGGAGCACGAGTCGGTGGGGCTGGTCGGTGGCTCTCCACCTTCTGGTGGACGGGGGAGGCGTAAGCAGAGGAAGAGCGATGGGGAGGACGATTATGACACCGCCGTGCCCGGAGACCTCATTACGCGGGCGAAGAGGCGGCAGATGACAGGTAGTGCTGACGACGCCGGAGGCGCGGCAGTTGGGTTACCGCGAGGCGCCAAGGAAGCTAGTGGCAAGGCGGGCGGTCAAGCATTGCGCCAGAAGGGCCGACCCGCAGCAAGAAAAGCATCCGGCGGAAGGAGAGGCAAGAAAGCAGCGACGGGAACAAAGCCGAAACGGGGCGATGAAGACCCCGGTGATGCGGAGGAGGAGGAGGAGGAGGAGGAGGATGAGGAGGGTGCGGAGGGAGAGGAGGATGAAGAGGAAGCGGAGGAGGATGACGCGGATGTTGGGGAGGATGAAAAAGATGAGAATGATGGCGGGAAGGACGAAGAGGAGGAGGAGGAGGAGGAGGAGGAGGAGGGGGAGGAGGAGGAGGAGGAGGAGGAGGAGGAGGAGGAGGAGGAGGAGGCAGAGGAGGAGGGGGAGGAGGAGGAGGAGGAGGAGGAGGAGGAGGAGGAGGAGGAGGAGGAGCAGGGTGACGACAAGGAGGAGGATGTGGAGGAGGAGGAGGAGGCAGCGGAGGAGGAGGAGGAGGAAGAGGAGGAGGAGGAGGAGGAGGAGGAGGAGGAGGAGGAGGAGGAGGAGGAGGAGGAGGAGGATGTGGCGCCAGTGAAGGGACGAGGCGGGCGTGGCAGACGGGTGAGTGGTACAGGGAAGGAGGGGGGCCGGACTCGCCCTTCCCGAAAACGCGGGGCAGTAAACGCTGCGCGCGGGGAAGCATCAGGCAAACCGAAGGCGCGTAAGGTGAAGGTTGAAAGTGAAGGGGTTGGTAAAAAGCAAGGGAGCCAGGGAGCAAAAGGGGAGGGAGGAGGAAAGGGTGGCCGCGCCTCCCGGGTTCCAGTGGGTACCAGCAAGAAAGAACCTGCCGGTAAACGTCGCAGCGTCCGCCAAAGCACCCCGCGGAAAGGTGGCAACGAGAAGGCGCAGGCTGCCCCAAAACCGAAGGGACAGCAGAAAGGTGAGCATTGTGTCCAATAAAACTGGCGTGACGTGTTGAACCATCTGCTAAACAGTGCCAAAAAACACCCTTTTTTCACATTGTTTCTCCCATGCAGGGAAGGAGAAGGTTGACGAATCTGCCAAGCAAGGTAAACCCTCTTGTCTCAAACCAGTACAACCCTGAACCCGATCTAGATTCAAACCTTTCTGAATATGCATGCATGTCTGGCCCCGCCTTGCAACCGATCGACTCTAATTTTTTTTTTTTCGGCTCCCTCTACATCTCAGCCCCTCGCGTTACAGGCATTGGGCCGCCCGTAAGCGTGCAACGAATGCATCTAACGAAGGCTGCCGGAAGAGCGAGTGTTACACCGCTCTCCTCCGGAGCACCAAGGTACTACACGCCATGGGCCAGCCCGAGCAAAGTCGCTGCGACGGCACCAGGCGCGCCAAGAGGAGAGGAATCTGAATCCCCTCCACCCGCCCCCGTCACGCAGTCCCCACTCGCCTCACCCTCGTACCAATTTCGGCAACTCCACGCTTCTCTTGTCCGGGGCAGGGCGGTCTCCCCTCTCGCCGATCCTTCGCGCGGGCATCAGGCAGGCAGTTATGCCAATCCCTTCCCTGAGCTCCCCTTTTCCCGCCAGCGTGATAGTGTGAGGGCACACGGGTCTGCTGCAGAAGACGTTGATCCCCTTGGCCAGAGGGGGGATTCTAAAAAACCCTTTTCGTCCGCTCATGGGTGCCCTAGGTGAAAGTGCGGAGCACAAGCAGTTTGTTACACGGGAGGAGTTCCAGGCGCTGCGGTCTGAGATGTACGCCATGTTTGCACAGCTTGGCCTGCGTGGTGGAGTACCTGCCAGCTATGCCGGCGGGTCGGCAGCCCTGCCTATGGCTGGTACCTCGTCGCCGATGAGCGCCGTGGACAAGGCACGAGTGCTAGTGTTGCAGGAGACAAACCCATTCCCGGTATGTGGCGGGCCACATGGGGAGGGTTGGGGTTGACGTGGCAACAAGGGCGGGGTTGGGGCTGACGTGGCGGTTTCGAAGGGAACACGGGAGCGGCGCGTGACGAGGCGACGCGTATCAGGTGGGTGGGGGATGACGTGGCATGGGGTGGGTGGGTGTGAAGTGGCAAGTGGCGCGGGTTGTTGGTGGATGTGGCGGATGCGGGTTGTGTGTGACGTGGCAAAAGGTGAGGGTTGGGATATGACGTGGCGGTGTGAAAGGGTGCAAGGGAGTGCCGCATGACGGCGCGAGGCGTTTCAGGTGGGTGGGGGGTGACGTGGCTCTTGGTGGGGGGTGTGACGTGGCAAGTAGGGCGGGTTGTTGGCGGATGCAAAAGGGTGTGACGTGGCAGAATGTGAGGGTTGGGGCTGACGTGGTGGTTTGGAATGGTACACGGGAGCGGCGCGTGACGAGGCGATGCGTGTCAGGTGGGTGGGGGGTGAAGTGGCTGTGGAGATAAACTATACAATGGTAGTGAGCTAGACTACAGGGGTTAGCACGAGCTACTAGAGGTGATCGCAGCTTTGCTTGGTTCCTTAGTGCTTGCACATTCACAGGAGAAATTGGCAAGAATTTCCACTAGCAAAGTTGGAATTACAGAATGGTTGAAGGAGCAATGACAACAATGACTATATCAGGCACCTAGCAATCCTGCAGTTAGCCTGGTCGACCGCCAACGCAGCTCGGTCGACCGCCTGCCAGCATTGCGTAGAGGAGCCGCGCCAGCATTGCAGAAGGGTGACCTCGTAGAACACAGCAGTGCGCGCGCTCACAGGTGTGTGCAGACGATTGGCCCGACTTGCCACGTTGGGCATCCGTCGGCTGTTGTCTGCGCCTGACGAGCCACATCGACTTCGGGATACCAGCCCGAAGTCGCCTGCGCCATCGCGATCTCGACGACGTTCGCGTGCCTCCGCAGAACTCGTCGAGCAGGTTACCCGGTCGACCTGGTCGACCCCTGGTGCTCTGGTCGACTCCTGGATGCCTCCCGTCGACCACTGGGTCCCTCTGGTCGACCACCGGGTGCTCCTGGTCGACCACACCTCCCGTCAAGCTACCCCTTGGTCGACGGACCCCTTCCGTCGACCGGAACTGTGCCGTCGTCCTCCCGGTCGAGCTGCAGTTCGACGGGACGCTACGTTGTCCTCCCTATCGAACTGTAGGTCGACGGATTGCTTCGTCGACCTCCCGGGCTGTTCACCCGTCGCCCAGGACAGTCAGGTGCAGCTGTCGAGCATCCTGGTCGACAGCAACACCACAGTGGTCCGCTGCAGCTCGACGTAACCTGTCGAGCAGCTATCCCACTGTGAGCAGTCGGCTGCTACTTCCATACATCCGACCAAGTTGTCGGCGTTGCCCAAGCGAGGGCGGGGCCAACACTCCATTCCCGTTAACACTCCCCTGCCGCGCTCACGCTTGGGCCTCCAGCCCTCACGGCAGTACTCCACGGAGAGAACTCGTCCTCGGCGTGCACCCCACACACAGCACGCCGTCACCGCACCAGCCGTGCAGAAGGGCACGGCACCTACTGCTGCACCTCGTCGTCGCCGTCGCCGACGTCGACCAGATGAACTTGTCCGATGGCGACAGAGCACCGGTTGAAAGCCGGAAAATGCAGCGCCTTCGTCAGGAAATCCGCCGGCTGCTCGGTGGTCGGGATGTAGTTCAGCACAAATTTCCCGCGCCTCACCATGTGCTGCAGCCACGCGTAGCGTCGTTCCATGTGCTTGAGGTTGCCCGTTAGCCCCAAGCCCTCAGCGACAGTGATTGCCGACTTGTTGTCGACGCGGAGGATGGTCGGCTTACCAGCATCGAGCAGCTTGAATTCCGCAAGGAGGAAGCGAAGTCGACGGCCCTCCTTGCCGGCATCCGTGGCCGCCACGTACTCCGTCTCGGTCGATGATAATGTCGCGCACTTGATGCGCGAGCTCGACCAGGAGATGGCGGCCCCTCCATAGACGAACACGTAGCCTCCCGTGCTCGTCCGGTTCTGCTTGTCGCCCGCGTCGTCGGCATCGACATAGCCAATCAGCTCCAACGATTCTGGTCCACCGCCGAACTCCAGGGCAGTGTCGCGGGTGTCGGCGAGGAAGGCGAGGCAACGGTCGACCTCACGCCAATGCTGGTCGCTCCTCACCGTGAGGCCGCTCCCCAGCTTGCTGCAGGCGAACGCAATGTCCGGCCTCGTCGTCGTCGCCGCGAACTGTAGCGAGCCGACCTTCTGCCGGTACTCCGCCTCTTCGCGCTCCTGAGCCTCCTCGTCGTCGAACGTCAGCTGAGCGTAGGCGTCGACCGAGACCGGCGTCTTCGGGACTCGACCGCCCTGCTCCTCGTCGACGAAGCGCCTGCGCAGCTTGTCGGCGTAGCCCTGCTGGTGCAGCCACAACTTCCTGGCCGGCCTGTCGCGCACGATCTCCAGCCCAAGGTACTTCTCCACCGGCGAGATCTCACGCAGCTCGAAGGCGGCCTCCAGCAGCTCCTTCAGCTCCTTCAGCATCGCGGTGCTGCTGCTAGCGGCGAGCAGGTCGTCGACGTAGACCAAGACCCAATAGGTCACACCGTCGTCGCTAGTCTTGAAGTAGAGCGCCTCGTCGACCTGGCTCTTCTTCCAGCCAGCGCCCAGCAGCACACCGTCGAGAGCCCTATACCACAGCAGCGGCGACTGCTTCAGCCCGTAGAGGCTTTTCTGCAGCTTACACACCCGGCCGGTCCCGTCGTCGAAGTAGTCCGGCTGGTACATGTAGAGCACCCTATCGAGCTTGATCTGCAGGAAAGCGTTCTTCATGTCGAGCTGCATCAGGTTGAGGTCGAGGACGGCGAGGATGCTGAGGAAGATCCTCAGCGTGACGTAGCTGCTCACCGGTGAGTACGTCTCGTCGTAGTCGGCGCCGTACACCTGCGTGAAGCCCTTTACGACCAGCCTCGCCTTCTCGCGCTCGACGGTGTCGTCGATGCGGTACTTGGTCGTCAGCACCCATCGGTTCTTCATAATGTTCACCCCGCACGGGCGTTCGACCAGCTCCCAAGTCCCCATAGCGATGAGGCTACGAATTTCTTCTTCCATGGCGGCCTTCACTGCCTCGCCCTTCCAGCTCGACAGCGCCTCCTTCACCGTCATCGTGGCGATGTCCCAGCGGTGTTCGGGGTCAGCATGCACGTCGGGGTCGAGCTCCGGCAGGTCTTCATCCTCCTCGGTATCGTCGTACAGCAGGTCGTCGTCGACCTCGTCGTACACCGTGGTGAAGGCAGCCGGCGGTAGGCAGGCGTGGAAGCTCAACCGCTCCGGCGGCCGTCGGGGTCGACCTGTGCGTCGCAGCTCGGGCTTCGTGATCGGCACTTCCATCACATCGCTGTCGGTGGACTCCTCACCCGCCGACTGCTCCCCTTTCTCGTCGACGAGAACGTCATCGACCAGCTGCTTCGACCCTTCGACCGGCTGTTCGTCTGCTGCTGCCTTCGACAACTCGCCTGTCGGCCGATCCGACTGCTGCTCCCTTGTCGAGTGTACCCCTGCCGTTGCCTCCTGTTCGGCCGGCTCCCCTGTCTGGTGCTCCCCTGTCGTCGACGACTTCCCATCCTGGTCGACGAGCTTGGCGCCTTGTCGACCGCCGGCGATGCCATGGGCCGGCGCCACAGGCGACGCCTCAAGGCTCCCCTCATCGACGGTGGCGACACTGGTGCCGACCCAGGCCGATCTGCGAAGGGGAACAGAGGAGCAAAGACAGGGGAAGGGGAAAGAGCCTCCACAACATCCTCATCACCGGGTCCGTCGACTTCGGCGAGCAACGGAACCGGCGCTGTCGATGTATCCGTTGGCGGGTGCGCCTGCGTCCGCTGCGACGCCGGCCCATCCTTCGCCTTCCACACCTCCAGCGACAGCGTCTCGTAGAAGATCACCTCGACCGATGTGACCACTTTGTTGTCGGTCAGGTCGAGCACTTCCCAGCCCTTGCTTGCTGGCGACACACCCAGGTGAAGTCCCCAGCGAGCCTTCGGCGCCAACTTCCCACCACGCTGCTGCTCGGGAATCATGAACTGCACCATGCAGCCCCACACCCGTGCCAGCGTAAGGTCGGGCATCTGCCCGGTTAGCAGCTGGTACGGAGTCGTCCCCGGTGGCGTCGTCGACCGCTCCAAGCAGTTGCGCACCCAGACAGCATGTCGTAGAGCAAGGTGCCACTAGTGGTGCTGCACGCCCATGTGCAGCAACATCGTCCGCACGGACTCGACGGCCGTGCGCATCTCCCGCTCAGCCATGCCATTCTGCTGCGGAGTGTAGGGGCACGTCAGGTCGTGGACGATGCCCTTCCCGTCGACGAAGTCAGTGAACGCCTGCCCGAGGAACTCCCCGCCTCGATCGGAGCGAAGCGACAGCACCGACTTCTTCGTCTGCCGTTCCACCAGAACCAGCCACCGCTCGAACTCCCGCAGCACGTCGCTCTTCTTAGCGACTGGCATTTCCCATACAAATCGAGTATGGCGATCCTTCAGCAGCAGGAAGTACAGGCTGCCATCCTTGGCAGCCACCCGAAATGGCCCGCACAAGTCAATGTGCACGACAGCCAGCGCCTCCGCTGTATCCGAGCCCTTGGCGGGGAAGGTGTGCCGCGCCAGCTTTCCTCCGACGCACGAGACACATGGCGAGTCTTCTCCGGTTGATGACGTGATGTCGAGCCCAGTAGCAACCTCGTGCTTCGCCGAGCTCTTGATCGTGTCGACGCTGACGTGGGCAAGCCGTGCATGCATCCTATCGGGGGTGGTCTCCATCGCCGAGACGATCGTCCGTAGAGCCACCACCTCGGTCGACTGCGACTGCGTCGAGCAGGGGCGAAGGTCGGTGCAGAGGACTCGTCCGGTGTAGCGTGCTCGACCGAGCACCTCTCCAGTCGCGGCGACAAGCAGCATCTCATCGCCATCGCCCTGCAGTAGCACGCCGATCTCCTTCAGCTGGCCAGCAGACAACAGGTTCGCCTGAACACCCGGAACGTAGAGCACGT